AAATCATTAGATGATAAAGGAATGGATAATTTTCTGGATCGGGTACATAAAGAAAATGTTAGTAACGAAATAAGAGAGAAAAAAAAGCTTCAAGATCAAGAGATACTTCCAGATGTGAAAGCATCCTCATATCATGAAGCTTCTCAGGAAGAAAAGCAATTACCTCTTAACCATAATGAAAAAATCAGTCAGAGTATCGAAACTTCACCTCTTCCAGAGAAATCAAATCTGAAAATTCCTTATAATCAAAAAGTAGAACGAGGTTTAAGACATGAGCTATTTATTTGCACTAAAGATAACAACAATAAGATTAAAAAAGTATTTGATATTCAAATTTCTGAGAAGTGATTTTAACGGGATCTAGTAAGGTTACATCACAAAATATAGTTGATCTATTTAGGGTAGCAATGAAGGTTTGACAAAAGGAGAGTTTATGCTGGTACTGTTATTATAAAGCATATGAGAATCAAGTCAGTAATATTAAGTCTGCAAATAATATTGATGACCAATCGGCAAGAACGATAGTGTATAATGAAATCAAATTGCTACTTTCTGACATTACCGATGTAAATTTGCATAAAATAACTTCCAGAGCTAAAAAAGTTTATGTGTTATATGAAGGAATAGGAATAGATAAAATTAGTTAAGTGACTTATAGCATGAGTGCTATTTCAAATCTAAAGGATATTCAAATTCAAAATATTATACATGATTTTCCCAAGAAGTCAAATGATATGAATTGCCAGGCACAGAGTACCATTTCTTCCAAATAAAAGTGATCGGCGTGACAAATTGTCATGCACATATGTCAGAACTATCTAGTTCAACCAATTTGTCAAACAGTAAGGTAGGTGGGAAAATTTTATCAGAAACTGAGGTAAGTAATACATCCACTTTATCTATCTCAGAAATGATTCCAGAGGAATCAATTGAGATATAAACAAGTGTATTCAATGATTCTTTAGATTCTAATTCAGAATTCTCTGATGATGATGAGGATGTGGATGATGCTGATAACAATGATAAAGATGATAATGGAAATTCCTCCGTTAGTGATAATAACAATGTTGACAAGGGATATTGTGAAATTAATTCTTTACCAGAGATAAATCCAAAGGAGTTAACTAAGATAAGTACACCATCCAATCTGGCTCTTAACCATGCTGATTTCTGTAATAAAATGGCAGAACAATATCCTAATTTATATTGGAAAGGTAGTGATGGAAATGATAATTATTATGGAATTACTGATAAATCTTTATGCCCACTATATAAGTTAGATCATTATGAGGATTATGGTATAAAAGGCAGATATAAAACTGGATCCTATTTTATTAAATGTGAATAGCATGAAATTAAAATTGAGATAATAGCATAAACTTTATCTTATGTCCTGCCAATTCATTTTGCTTATTGTCAGAATAATATATATAATAAAAAAGTTAACTATATTAATTTGGACATGAGCTTGCAAGTGAACAGTATATATTATTTTTTTGTTAGTTATTACCAATTTAAAGAGATGTGAGGTTATATAAAATAGCAACATGAATATTTTAACTTCCAAATATTTAGAGTGGGAAGCTAAATTAACAGAATTGCCAAGCATTTTGACAAATAAATTCATTCTAGGTTTTGTAAAAGATATAAGAAAAAAACTAGACTTGATCCCTGGGTAAACTCTAAAACTTCTGAATTTAAACAAATTGAAGAGGATGCCAGTAATCATCTTTCACGAGACTGTATCATTAAGATTTCTAAGTTTCCAGAAGAAAAAGGTATAATCCATGAAACAGTATATAAACATTTTCCTTTCTTATCATATACTAATTCAAATTTATGGAATCAAGATATTTTTAAATATATCAATTCAGAAGCTAAATGTCCAATATGCAAAGAAGTATATACACATTTAGGAATATGGGGTGACTGGAGTTGTCTAGGTTATACATGTTTTCAAAATTGATTTTAGATTTTTGAGATATTTCGACTTTTTGAGATTTATACAGAATTTATTCTATATATAGAAGTAAAAAAAATATCTGGTTATATGTATCTTTAATCAAAGAATAAATCTGGGTAATCAAAAAATTTTGGATTTTAAGTAAAATAATTTTGTCTTCTAAAACTATTTCAACTTTTTTTTCCAAAATTACAATTTTAGGGTTCCAAAATAATTTTGCATGCAAGTATAGTCTAGGTAAAAATGATTATTATTTTCTTATTTGTCCTTTTCATATTGATCAAAAGAAAATTATTATTGTTGTACAAAGCTTATCAGAAGTTCAAGTAAGGTACCAAACAAAATTAATAACTCACCAATTTATCAAAACAAAACCTGTTTTTATCAATATGCCATTGAATATAAAATGGATTCTGAAAATTTTCAGTTATTACTGAGGCTGAGAAAAATAGATAGGCCATAGGATACTTCTGTGATGATTTGGAGAGAGATATATATCTTTATTGTGAAGGAATAAAAAGAAATGAAGATATTAAAAAATATCATAAATTTTTAACTGATCAGAATAGGCTGGTTGGTAAAAAGTTATTATACTAAAGAGTGGTTTAAGTACTACATAGCTTGATAAGCTTATGAAGGAATAGGAAAGAATCCATACACAATTTACACAAATTTTTAACTAGACACAATTATATAAATGTATTAATATATAAATCATTTTTTTGTAATCACATGGAGCTACTCCTACTCTATACTTATTTTTTCTTCATATATAAAATGTCACATACATAAATCACAGACATAACTATTATATCCCGATATAAAAGATACTTGATACTTTATTAATTGTAATTTACATAGAACGTATTACATAATTTTTCATATAACAATACAATAACGATGTACTGCGCCATATTTCACGTGACGTGAAACTGATTATGCTGATCAAATCACGTGATATACGCTAGAATTGATATAATGCTTTGGATCTGGTTACCTGCTAACTTTGAAATCGTATCTGCACTATAAGTCACAACTCGCTTAATTTTTGCTACCCCTATTTTCTTAAACAGTTTATAAATATTTCTAGCCTTCTGAATTTTCTTGCGCAGGTTTTCCTTTGTGACACCCGGAAGATGCGGGATAATGAAATTGTACACTTGGGTTCTAGCTTGTTGGTCCTTGACTTTTTTGTTATTATCCATGATATCTTTGATTCTTTTCGAACCGTTCCGCATAGCGATACCAGCACAAGATTTCATCCTGATTGGCCTTCGTTACACATTTTTCTGCTAAACTTGCTTTTTGGTATAATCAGGTTAAACTCTGCAAGATCGAATCATCAGAACTCCATTCACATCATCTTCATCGGTTTCCCCTTTGATATGCATGGATAATTCTTGCAATAAACCTTGCAATTTATCCTGCTCACGAGTAATCTTGGGAGATACTTCTCGAGACGTTAATCGGTAGTGACATTCCCTTCACCAGCAGATTGATCCTGGATGACGGTATCATTCGTATCAGTTTGATCTTGCACCAAGATAGTTGTACCCTTTTCGTTGCCAATAGGACTTGTAGCCTGCTCATGTGTTGTAACGGGAATGTTTACAATCGGGCTCATTCCACGGTCCTCCATACTAACTTGCTTTGTTCTTCCTGAAGATTCGCCTTCCTCAATCAATCCTAGTGCCATCATTTCCCCCAAACCACCATCATCATCGACGATTGTTACGTTAGATTGCTAGGAGGCCATCCCTTTATCCGGAATTGCTGAAATATTTTGGCTTCGTAGGTAATTTAAGGAAAGCGCTTCAAGTTGGAAGACTTCGGCATCGTTCTCGGAAGTGGACGAAGATTCAGATGTTTTCTCAATTGCCATACATTAAAATATTTCTCACCTCACATCAGCTATATACCCGCTCACATATCGCCTGTAATTATTTGTCCCGAAATTTTGTATGGGGGATAAGGTAAGTTTATTATAGCGGAATCAATATATAGGAAAGTTGAATTTATGATCGGCGAAAAACATGAAAATTATATAATAACAAAATAGAATATTATAATTTATAGAATAATATTCTAAAAATTTCAATTAATTGAATGAGTAATTTCTAATCCTAGCAAGGGGAAAAAGATAAATGCAAAGCAAAGTTACATCTTTCCTAACACTTTCCAATGAATTTTATAAAATGAAACTTTTTGATTTAATATTATCAGTATTTTTCTAAGGTGGGATGGTACCGCAATTACGAATTGCAGATTATGTACATACTAAATGTTTGAGAATATTCTCTTTCATTCAATATCTCAGGTGCCAAGTTAATATTATTAGAATGAAAATCTTTTGCTGGTTATAAAAATCATTTCCATTTTCTTTTTTGTCCACGTCGTAGAGACTTATAAGTCATGTCCCAAAAACTTTTATATCATACCAGATACCTCGAATATTTCACTGGTAAGAGATTTTTGAGATCAACAATTGAGCTAATATAATTAATATATTTACATTTAGGTTAGAGATGATTGTGTTAAACATTATATATATTTATGTTAAAGAAGAAATAAACAAAGAAAAAATCAAAAAAAAATCTAGAAGATTTGCAAATAGCTTCCCTTTCCTCGAAAACTATATTTAATATAAAAATAATCGAGATATAATTTTCACGTTATTCATAGAAACTAATTGATTAAATAATGGTTTATTATTATATCTTTGATTCAATATCAAACGAATGCTAAAATAAGCTATCATCTTAATCTCAAACATAATAATATAATAATGTTAATAATTGATTACTTAAATAATATATCAAAAAATGACTAAAATTCATTTTATTTCATACTGTAAGTGTAATTATTTTCAAGTTTCTAGTTTTAACTCTCCATCTCTAACCAACCCTAACCCTTCTCTGTGTATTTGAAAAATTGCACTTCTCTGATTTCGATTAAATTAAAGTCTAAAAAATTATTAAAAAATTATTATATTAAAAAAATTACTTTTCATATAGTAAAAATGAACAAAATATTTGCGTTATAAAAATAGTTTAATTTATATTCTAAAGCATGATTTTAGAATACTGGATAATTAGTGTTGTAATATAATAATTGAGCAACCACAACGGATTCATGTATTTTTGCACCAAGAGGCAGTCCTAATAATAAATAGGATTTGTAGATTTTGTGAAACTAAAATTTCGGAAAAGCTATTTGTTTTGTTTATAATTAATTATTTAAGCTGATCACAGTCTACCTATTCTTAAAACAATGATTGTATAATTATTTTAATGAATAAAAATGCAATCACCACCAAACATGGATTTATTGTTATTTTTTGTCTACACATTCTTCTTTAGCAGTAAGAAATAATCTAAACATGGCTTTTGTGTCTTTTCTACTTGGAAATGTTCCGTGGGTATTCTTATCAGATGACATTTTATTGTTCATTTATAGTGCGTAAGGTGTAACTATTTTTTTTAAATGAATTAACCAATATTATCACTACATTGTTACAAACATTAAAACGTTTAAATATAAATTTATGTTTTACAGATAAAAATGATGTAAAAGTCAATTCACTCGGACTCTGGAGATTATATTTTATGAAATATCGTGATAATTAGAACAAAAAAAAGGTATTATTATTGTATATAATTATAAAAGTTAAAAATAGTAATTAGTTAGCATAAAGAAAGATTTTTTTTCAAAAATAATCATATATTTATATATGTAGAGTATTTGATATTCATAGACAAAGTACACGAAAAAATCATCCGAACGATAGATAACAGATGTTTTATACATTCTTTTTTTAGATTATTTGAAACTACAGCGCCATTGCACATATATATTATATACTGTATTACCATCTTGTAATTCAGCATTTATTCACTTTACGTAAAGTAATTACTTTAAACTATTAATTTCAAAAGAATTTATGTGGTTTCCCGGTGCCTATTAGTCGAGGTAGAGTAAGTATATGTAAAATATAATGGATTAGTATATCGAATTTTTTATTTTTGGAAAGTGCACACATATACAAGTTAAGGCAATAAAACTTAACACAGCCATTTATTTAATATCGTCTCAAATGTCGTAACTAAATTATTTTTTAGAAACAACTGGTGTAACTAATTTTTTCCTACATAAAAGTACATATAGTTCATTTCCGTTAAAAACAAAAAATAAAAGAGCTTGGTTCTGCAAGCTGGAACCCACAAAATTTATCATAGTTTTTTTTTAAATAAATTAAAACTTATATATTAATTATTTCATTATTCTATTTCATCGTAATGATACGATCAAGTTTAAATTTGATGGTTTTGCTAATAACATGGATAACAATTCTTTTTCTGACGTCTTCGGTATCAGGTTACGGAATTTTTACACATAATGAAACGAAACCATACCCCACACCACCACGGATATGGCAACACGTCGAATATATCGATGGGACAGTGGTTCTTCGAATTATTAATAGGAATTCTAATAAAAAATCTCTTTCTGGAGAAGCGTGGATAAGACCAGTATTATCTTTACGCATTATTCATCCCAATGGAACAGTCAGTGAAATAGACAAAGACCTAGAGATTCCAGAATTTAACTGGAGGATTTTTACAATTCCTGGTTTTAGTGATTTCCAGGACCCTATAAGTATATATGCGCTTCAAAGGAACTACTTAATTGTTAGGTACTTTAAAGCTTCAAATACGTCCGATATTACAACTTATGAAGAATGGGGACGTATTATTGATTGGAATGGCGATTTATATAAGTAAATATTTTTCAATAATCATATCCTAATCATCATATTATCTTTAATAACAATGACAATCATTATTTAAACTATGAAGTGAAGTAAATTTCAGGGAGGCTTTCATTTATGATGGTATATGGTACCCATCATTAACGACAATAGTGACTAACGTTGATCCAGAAAAAGGGTTCATAAGGATAGCTGGGATGAATGCTTCTTATTTCGAGTGGCAACAATATGTGATGTGAGTTTTTTATACCATAACATTATAAGATTTTACAATTTTTACAATTTTTATTTTATTTTTTAGAGATGATTCATTCAATCTTAAAAGGTTATACGAAGGAAATATTACACTTCCCCAAAAAAATGAAAATTCTACGACATTATATGCCATAGCTACTGTTGACGAGGGTTATAGTATAATTATGGGAAATTCCACCGACTCCACTAATTCCGGTAACAACAATCCTTTGGAAATTCGTGCCGCTGTGTATGCTTTAACAAAAAGATATGATGATAAACAATTTGGTGCACCAAAAATGATTTATCAATTGCCCTTAGATGATATTACAATATCTGGTATGAATGTTGGTATTTCAAGTACTGGAATTGGACAAGTTTGTATACTCACCATCACACAGAACAATGTTGATTATTATGTGAAAC